CCGTATTTGTGCTGTCTTTTTGCCATTTTTTGTCTGCTACCCTCCATTCATGTGTTCATCTGTCTGTCTGTTCATGTCTTGGTTGTTTGGTTCTTTGGTTTCTTTGTTCGTTCGTTGTTCGGTTCATGTGGGTGTGTCTTTGTGTCTTGATTGCGTGTCCTTGTACGTTCTGTACTTGTAGAAGGTACCAAGATACCAAGGTACCAAGGAAGCCGTACCAATTCCAGCTGCTTCTTCCCAGGTCGCAACCCCAAAATTGCTGGTTCAGCGGTTGAATGTTTGTCGATACCAAGGAAGCCTTCCAGCTGCTCGTTCCGTTTTACTGGTTCAGAGGTGGAGCTGTTTGTCAGTTTTTTGCATATTTTTCTTTTCGGGACCCGAGCAGAGCTGAGGTATGAACAAGAGCAAGTTGGACCTAGAGAACGGGGTCACGGACACCGCCGCCCCGGCGCCTTGGATCTAAAAGCCGGTGCCTGGAAAGGTTCGGCTGTTGGAGATCCCCAAAACAATTGGAGTGGTTCAGTTCTGCAAAAGGGGGTTGTGTGTGTCTGTGTTCAGGGCGTCTGTTCTTTGGTGTATGTGTGTGTACAACCACTTGGGTGCCCTCATTTACCGGCATAGACAAGCCTTGCCGAACCATATTTATGAAAGTCGAGGTCTGGCTCTCTCCGCTCTGTTCTAAGGTTTGATTCCCCGTTCTCTTCGCCCATCGTTCTCTTTAGGACCACCTTTTCCCAGGCGTTTGGCCCAATTGTTTGAAGGGAAGGATCCCGGTACTACTAGATCTGTGCCATTGAAGAAGTCTTCGGGTAGAAGCTTCGACTCAGCGGCACGTTGCGCGCACTAACGAATCAATCATTGGCCTGAGACGGCGATTCTTTGGAGCGGCATTTCATTTGCAGCTGCCAGAGATGAGATAAACAATCATTGTTTTTGAACCCAAGGGCATTTAGGCTACTCACGCAGACGAAGCACTGTACTCACACAAAGATACTTGTGTACTCTGCATGCCCTTGTCTGGAGAGACTGCGCTTAACTTGGCTTTGTCAATGGCATGAGGAAGTGCATTCTGGCGTGTCATTTGACTTGTGACTTAAATCGGCAAGAATCGTTCTGTTTAATGCTTTGGCGTGGTTTTGGGGTCAACAACCTGCAGCCTTGGGCTAGGTTGTGAGCTCGTTGGAGGTTCGGTCTGTGTTCCCTTGTCTATGGCCAGTTCGGGGATCAGACCATGCGCGACTCGCGAAACTTCCTATACACACCAAGGGACTGCCGTAACAGTTGCCACAAAGTCCGGGGCGCACTCGATATTTGATGCGGCCACCAGGGATGCCGCAGACACCGGACTCATACAATTTCAAACAAAGTCCAGGTGACTCAACGAAATGTTCTATCAGAACCAGAACTCGCCTTCTCCTCCAAACACCAGGGAGAAAAATGGAATTGTCAAATGTCCGTAGGCAACAGCATGATTTCTTGCCCGTGGACCAATGAAGGCCTGCAGGAGGTTTGCTCTGGGTCTGCGTTTGGCCCTTGCAACCGGCAACTCTTCTGCGAAAATGAGACCCTCAATGAGTAAAACTTTCGCGCAGGGGACGTACCCAAATCTTGCATGACTCGGGAACTGACGAGTCTCAGCGGGTTCCTTTGATCTGTTGCGTCATTCTGCTTGATGTTCATCCGAACTTGGCATGGTCTTTGCTCGAAGCATGGGTGATTGGGATCGCTTGTCTGTCAACGTGGCCCCCAGTTCCTCCATTTAAACTACCGGAACCCTCAAAATCCCATCTTAAAAATGAGTTTGCCCCCCAAAATTCTGGTGGGTGATCTCCCATTTCTCGGGGAATAGTTTGAGGGTCCAGGTATCTTCAAATGAAAGTCGGCGCCTTTCCCCGAGTTTTCAGCAGCCCCAACTTTAGCATCCGTGGTCACCCGGATTCAAACAGATCAGCCTGGCAAGATCGAGCAAGCGGAAAGTGTTGTTAAGCTAAATCTTACTTCCTGGGTTGGTGGACTTTAAACTTTTTGGGTTTGGACCATTTTAGTGGCAAATAAAAAGTTCAAACTGTTTTTGGCCAGTCAACTTGGGAAGTGAGAAGAAGTGTTTTTTTTGTGCGATGGTTCCTTTCAAGGCATGATAAATGGTCGGGCAGAGTGTGCGTAAGGTGTTGGGCAGAATAGTCACGAGCCGCCAAGCTTCGGTCGACCAGGCGTGGATGTTTCCTTCCAACGAAACGTAGAATCTTCCCTCCTAGACTCACTTCCTGAGTTGGTGGACTTTAAACTTTTTGGGTTTGGACCATTTTAGTGGTAAATAAAAAGTTCAAACTTTTTTTGGCCAGTCAACTTGGGAAGTGAGTACAACTTCAAAACCCGTGCTTTCCTTTCAGTTTCCCTAGAAACCATTCGGACATCTTCCCTGTATCTCACTTGAACGGACTTGAGTCACTTTCTGGGGTTGGAGCATTTCAGTGGCAAACCGCAACCTGAACCCTCAAACTACCCATAAAAATTGGATATCACCCCATAATTTTGGGGGGTCAAACCTATTTTTATGTTGGAAGTTTGAGGGTTCAGGTGCCTAAGAAGGGGCAGCTGTCAGTGGCGAATGTCTCGAGGCGGAGTTCCACGGGGGACTGTCCACGCTGCCGAACCTTCAGGCTCCGATCCGGCGAAGGTTCTTCCCCAGAATCCCTTCCCCTTTTGAAGTTTTGCTTTTTTTGTTTGTTTGTGTTTGCTTCTTTTTGCTTTTTTGGGGTCTGCTTTGTTTTCAAAAAGAACCGAAGCAACAGTTTTTGCTTTTGTGGGGCCCCCTTGTTTTTTTCCAAAAGAACCGAAGCAACAGTTCAAGTTCTTTCCCAGTGGTCGCTTTTTTGGGGCCCCCTTTGTTTTCCACTCACCAGGCCAAAAACATAGTTTTAGCTGTTGGGTCCGAATTCCAGCCAAGGGTTCAGGCATGAGCTTTGCCTATTTGGTAGCGAGCTCACCGATGCGGGGGTAAAGCTCACCGCAGCAAATACATCTTTCACGGCTTGCAAGCAGCTCTGACGGATGGCCTTTCGGAAAGATAAGCCCTTGACCAGGGCGGGGGAAAAGGAATCCACTGTGATACAACAAAATTGGCCCAACCCCAAAGACATTCCCCTCCCCCACAAACAAAAAGGGGATATTTTTTGTATCACAGTGGGGATAAACCCGAGTGATCCCACAACCCTCACTCATTGGGACTTTCTTACCAGATCATGGGCATGATCTTCAGATGGGATCTTTTTGACCTGAATTTTGGGAGCAAGATTCAGGCGAGAAGGAGCCTATGATGCTCCCTATTGAGACTTGCAGACAGCTCTATTGCTCACGTACAACTCATCCAGCACAAGCTAACAAGCCTGTCTGCAACTAGGACATGAGAGGGGAAACCATTTGACATATCTCGGTCCCCCAGCTAGGTGCACTTTCTTACCTTTTTTGTTTTTGCTTGGGAGGCTTCCCCTACCAAACTAGACTACGGAAAAAAAGTTGGTACCCTTATTCTAGCCTCTCTACTGGAGAACCTAGTTCTGGCTTTGAAGCATCCAACCCACATTCTATTTTAACAGCCGTTACAGCACCGAAGCAACCAGACAACTCCCAGAGGGCCGTGGCTCGGTGTTCGCAGGTCATGGAGATTGGCTACAGCGGCATCTCTGACATGAGACCTTCGGCGGCAAGGGCCGGGTTTTGTAGGCTCCGGCTTAGCTGCCAGGCTTATTGGGGTTGCAGGGCCCAGAGAAACCTTGAGTATGATACGGGTGTGTACTGTTTTTGTGGCTTTAACATGGAAACCAACAGGACAACCACTTCTTCTTTTTTTTGAAGGGGGGTTCCCCCCAAAAAGCTAGATAAGTTTCATCATGGTAGCAATACAAATGCAAAAACAAGACCAGCCACCTATATCGGTAGAAGGTCCATGGGTTTCAGGCACCCAAACGGACCCAACTTTCACCCAGAAAGTTGGATTCAGGCTGGTTTGCTCGCTGTTTAAAGCACTTCTCGTGATCCCAACACAATCCAAGACTGGCCCAGGATTCTTCGCGCAGCGGGGGGCTTGGTATCATCGTTGCGGGGGGGGAGGAGGGGTGGGGGTCGGCGGGCTTCGGGAGATGTCGAGCAGCGTCGCGATGTCACGGGATTGCAAGGCGAAAGAGCCTAGCTGGGATATCACGCGAATTCTACCTCAGCAATCCAAAGCAAATTCGAACTTTTAACCTTTTTACTTTTCCTTTGTTAGGCCTATTGCCAGTTCCTTAGATGATCCATGAGTATGGGACTCTATATCTTGTTGGAAAGGGCATTTCGGTGGCAAACCACGTCCACGAATTTGTTTGACCAACCCACTCAAGAACTCAGTAACCTTACACGTAGGTTGCTTGGCAGACTGGAGGCTTCATGTCTTAGCAAGAAAGCACATGGGCAAACATATCCTGTGAGCTGTGACCCGTTTTGGGCTAAGATGAACAATAAACTATTCAGCCCTGAAGCTTATCCTAACACCCAATAGCTGTAATGGGGCAGGTGAAGCCCACCGCAGCTATTCCCCCCAACGGCCCGGGGGTTAAGCAGTCGACCGCTCCCCCCCCTCCTCTTCCCCCCCGCTCCTCTTCCACCTGCGCCCTCTTTCCCTTTCTGCGCACGGGCCCGGAGGTTCCCACTGCAGACCCTTCGGATCTTGCACCTACCCGGCAACGACATCTCCAAGCTCGAGGCCGAGACTTCAATGCCAAGGGCAGCTGCGGAATTCGGCTGCCGTTCGGTTCCATGGGCGTGAGAAAGGCGCCGGGATGTCAACCATTTGTATCCATCGCAAGAAAACGTCAATGGGGTTTGGGCACTGCTGAAATGGGTCAAGACTGAGTGTGAAAGTTTGATGTGCTCCTTAAGCATCAGAAAGGAGCCTTCATTGGAAGGGGGTTGACGGATCATGCCCTGTTTCCATACGTGGCTTCGCGCAGGGTTTGAACCACATGGAGCAGTTGCGGGAGCTGGTGGTGGACAAGAACAAGATCAAGCAGCAGCTTGCCATGCGGGTGGTTGGGGAGCCGTTACGGGCTAGGTCCCCAGCAGTGCCCTTTAACACATTTTTGGGGGAGGGTTCCCCTACTAAAATAACCTTTCTACTGGAGGACCTAGACGGAGCTGGGGTTAAACTTGCTTTCCCTTTCGCATCATTGGGGCCTCATTGGACAGGGCATCAGGGACCTTTAGCAAGGAAGGGTTTGGGACCTCAAACAGGCCCCTTGTGAGGTCCAGGTTGCAAGTCAAGTAGAGTTGTTATTTTTTGCCCCCCTGTATCAGGTGCAGATCGCCAGGCTTCAAAGTCACGTGAGGTTATTGAATGAACCAGATGAGACGCCCCGGAGTCGAAGCAGCAGTGGTAGTCGCAATCATTGGACAATTACCCTTAAGAATTGTGCAGCTTCAAAATGCCCGTCTTCGAGGTCCAATTTTTTCCAGTGCAGATGCTTAGGACACAGAGCGTCTTTATCTGCGGCCTATACTCAAAACCAGAATGTATCCTTCCTCACAGGCAAGCCATTTTCTAGAAGTCGCCCTCCTTTGAATCAAAAGCACAACTGGCCTTTCTTGAGCGAGCTGTGTTCTAGAAGTGGCCATGTTCACTTGCAAGATCAAGCAAGCTGTTCTATGGCCGTTGTCGGGTCCTCAGCGGCCTGCTTGCTTCCATGTCCAAGCATCGTTCCATTTCATGCACTAGATCCATTTTCCCTGGGTTTCCGGAGGTGTTCCAGAAAGACGGGGTCCATTTTTCCCTGGTGTTCTAGAAAGAAGGGGTCCATTTTCCTCGCGTTTCCGGAGGTGCTCTAGAAAGAAGAGGTCCATGTTCCTCGCGTTTCCGGAGGTGTTCTAGAAAGAAGGGGTCCATTTTCCCCGGGGTTTCCGGAGGTTTTCTAGAAAGAAGGGGTCCATTTTCCCCGGGGTTTCCGGAGGTGTTCTAGCAAGACGGGGTCCATTTCCCCTGGGTTTCCGGAGGTTTTCTAGAAAGAAGGGGTCCATTTTCTAGAAAGAAGGGGTCCATTTTCCCCAAATTTCCGGAGGTTTTCTAGAAAGAAGGGGTCCATTTTCCCCGAGGTTTCCGGAGGTGTTCTAGCAAGAAGGGGTCCATTTTTGCCTGATTTTCCGGAGGTTTTCTAGAAAGAAGGGGTCCATTTTCCCCGGTCCATTTCCCCTGGGTTTCTGGAGGTTTTCTAGAAAGAAGGGGTCCATTTTCCCCTGGGTTTCCGGAGGTTTTCTAGAAAGAAGGGGTCCATTTTCCCCGGGGTTTCCGGAGGTGTTCTAAAAAGAAGGGGTCCATTGTTGCCGGGTTTCCGGAGGTGTTCTAGAAAGAAGGGGTCCATTTTTGACGGGTTTCCGGAGGTGTTCTAGAAAGAAGGGGTCCATGTCCCCCGGGTGTTCCGGAGGTGTTCTAGAAAGAAGGGGTCCATTTTCCTCGCGTTTCCGGAGGTGTTCCAGAAAGAAGGGGTCCATTTTTGCCGGGTTGCCGGAGGTGTTCTAGAAAGAAGGGGTCCATGTCCCCTGGGTTTCCGGAGGTTTTCTAGAAAGCAGGGGTCCATTTTCCCGGGGTTTCCGGAGGTGTTCTAGAAAGAAGGGGTCCATTTCCCCTAGAAAGAAGGGGGTACCTGGAAAGAATGGAAGTTAGTGGTAGTACCCTTAGAGTTGCTCAAAACGCAATCTGGCTGTGGGTCAAAACTAGGCACCCAAAATAAACACTGATACATAAACAAGTAGACTAAAACCTGCGGTCCCGGGTGGTGTGACAATTTTTGACCCATGCCCAATTCAATATTTTCGGGGGCCCCTTGGGGGAAAGCTAAGAGGAAGCCACCTGGAGCTGGTCTCTTTCCGGAGGATGGATCCCGCTTCTCGATTCAGGGACTCGCCGGACGATTGACTTGCCGGTTTGAAGGCCATCCACGTGTTTAGGATGTTAGGGTTTAGTAAAAAGTGAACCCATGCACCCACGAAAAGTCGAACTTTTTTTTCCCCCCCTTTTTTTTCTGAGGACAGCCTGGCGAAGAAAACGTTGTTTTTTGTTCCCCTGCTGGTTTTAAAGGGAAGTCTATGACTACTGGATATTTTGTTTCAGGGAGGAAATCAAACAAATGGAGGGAAAAGAAGGCCATGACACGCACTCAAGCGCAAAGAAAATCGAGCGGACGTGTTAGTTTCCCCATTTTGGCTAAGTATTTTTTCGCGAACTGGACTCAGCACTCTCGGCTCACATTCCGTGCAGAGGGGTCCGACCAGATTAATCAAAATCACGCTGAATCTCAATCTTCATCAGTTTTTTGTCATAAGATTGGGCTAGCTCCTGGGACTGGTCGTGTCACGAGTGGAATTTTAGTGGCTCCACCAGGTGACTTCAACCAAAACGTAGTCTAAAGATCCGTTACCCAGCAGTCAAGCAAAAGGCGGAAGCGGATGGACGTTGTTAATCAATACCACGTTGAATTAGCTCCTGGGAATGTTCGTGTGAGTGGAATTTTAGTGGCTCCACAAGGTGAGATCACCTTTTCCTTTCTGGGCGCAAACAAAAACTGGGCAACTGAGAGAGACGCCAGCGCTGAGGTTCGACGAGAAGAGCTTCGAAGGGCTGCGGGCCGACCTCGCAGGTGTTCTTTGCTTTTTTTTGTGTTTTTGGTTAATGTGTTTTTTCTTTGTTTTCTTCTTCTTTAAAAACAATAAAAAAATGTTTCTTCCGGGTTTTTTGCTGTCGCCGGGTGTTTCTGGTTCCCAGAGGGTCCAGTTGAGTGTCTCTCAAAGCGGAGAAGTCCATTTGAGGGATCCCCAAAATACTCCCGGCTCAAGGACATGTAGGGTGGAATAGGGGGCTCAAACCATGTAAAACGAAGGCGAGCATTTCAAACGAAGTTTGCAGAGATATTCCGCTTTGGCACAGTTGAATTTTGGAGATGGCTCATTTGAGATTTTCGAAGGGTTGATTCCCCATGCTCCAAACATTGCTCGGTCTAGACAAACCCATTCTTTTTCCTCGGGAGAAGGCCCCATTTTTCGAATACGAGGATTTATAAAGAGAATGGGTACAGTAATCCGTTCCCCCTATTAACAAAGGTCTCCCTAATAACAAATAATTGTTTCAGAAGTTCCAAATCTGGGAATACTACTTTTAGAATAGCCAATACTAAACCAATTCCAAAGTAAGTATTTTCCTGCCCGTACTCAAATCCAGCCCGGGAGCACGTTTCCTTTGCTACGGTTGTACTACAAAGTTGCGACTTTCGAGCCAGAGCTCCGGGAGCACGTTTCCTTTACTACGGCTGTACTAAGTTGCGACTTCCGGGAGCACGGGGGAACAAGAGGCACCTTCAAAACCTGACCTCCAGATCCAGGGGAATCGTAGATGGTCCTGAGTCTCTTAGCTCTGTTCAGGATGCGCCCTTCTTTTTATTCCGCGACGAGAGCAACAAAAGACATGGATGCTGAATCAAATTCGGCATGGAAGCGGGGCTGAAAATGGGTCCCTTAATCAAATTCCGAAGGGTTCGCAACAGCCCCTAGGATCTCACACCAGCCCCCTGTTCGCTTGCCAACCGCGGCTTTCACGTATCGAAGAAGCTAACGCAAATCAACCGAGCACGTGGTTCCTCTTAAAAGCTTTAAGTTCACTAGTTAAGCTCAAGCCAATGACCCTTTGAACCCTTCTACGTCCCCCTAGGTCCCCCAGTAGTGCCCTTTTACCCTGTTTTGGGGGAAGGTTCCCCTACCAAAGTACACTGCAGAAAGAAGGGCACCCTTATTCTAACCTCTCTACTGGAGGACCTAGCCTTGTAGGTAGCCTTTCCATTCATTTAAAGTAGCTGTAACAAGCCAAAGCCAGTCAAAACTTGTCGCTCTTGGCCTTTAGGCTGCGCAGGCATGCTGCGATTGGTCAATGGGTTGCTCACTGGTCTGGCACATGTCCACATGCGTGTGTTGATCCATCGGTCTATGCGCAAAGTGCAGACTGCTGATCACAGAGTCCGGCTCCAACCATGGGTTCGTTTTGGCAGCTCCCACCAAGAGTCGCGGCCCTTTTTTGGAGCTGAAAAGCCCAGTGTTGAGTGCTTGCCCGTATCGTGACCTGTTGCATTCAAGGAGCCCTTTCATGGTTTGCATAGGTCTGGGAATGCTGACCCTTGAGGAGTACCTAAGCAAAGAACGTCAACCGGATCTGGGCGGAAGTATGGCGGAGAAACAAGACCAGCTTGACAACAAAGCACACAACCATGTCGCAGCCCAACAGACAAGAGAAAACACATGCACTCAACGCACACACGGCAAAACGAGTCTTTTGGAACCACGGTGTGGAACCTCATACGCCGGATGACTTAAAGCCGATGCCTGTTGTGCCCAGGAGATTAAAAAAAGCCAGACTTCTTGTGTTGCTGGGAACCAAACCTTTGTCTTCCAAGCACTCGCAAAAGCGGGATCCTTCTTGAGTTTCCTCTTGGTTTTAACTGGACCAAAAGCCGAAGGCCTGTGTTTTTAGGGTCCTGGAAGCTCAAGGTTATTTGTATATATATATAGCATAAACATATAGCGATATATATATATATATATAGATGTATGTATGTATATGTATATACATGCATATAGATATGTACATAAACAAACAAAAACATAAATGAATACACAATCAAGAAACTACTAAATAAACTAACTAAATTAAACAAAATATAAAAATATATGTCAAGCTCACGGCGAGTTTTGCTCGTCCAACTCTCTCTCCACCGAGCGGTGCTTTGCCAGTCCCTGCGTGAGCTCCGAGCTGAAGACAACGGCCTTAAGAGCCGGGAGCCGCAGGAGTTCCTTGCCCACGGGCGAAACGACATGGTCAGCGGTGTCCGTTTTTTTTTTCATGTGTGCCCCGTGTCCATCCTCCAGATTCTTTTTGTTTTCATGTGTGCCCCGTGTCCATCCTCCAGATGATTCTTTCTTTATCATGCGT